TGCCGCCGCCGCCAGGGACCTGCTTCTCGGCAGCCATCTTGCTCCTGCGCCGCAGAGCAGGACGGGATGGAGGAGGCGGGACCACCAGGGGCGAGAGCGAGCGGAACCTACCAGGAGGGGCTGATGGGATAGCGGCGGACCCCGCCACCCACGGCCCTTTCAGCTGCCGAAAGCCATTTGTTGGAGCGCGCCTGCGCATGGACTAGGCTCGCCGGGTCCTGAATCGTGAGGGCTAAGCAGGGGTCTCGCGGGCACAGGGAGATCGTGGCTGCTGAGGTCTTCTCGGGAGCAATGCCACCTCCCATCCACCAAGGGCGGGAGGACGGGTGATGGACCCCCACCTGTTGCATGCCTGCACTGGGGATCCGGCTCACGTCCTGCACAGGAGAGGGTGGGGGACTAAGGATTTTGGATTTCGGGATGTCTACCTCCCCTGGGACTCAGGAGATGGGGTTCCCACCCTACTGGAACGAAGGGTCCCGCCTGTGAGGGAACCTCCTCCGCCTGAGCTTTCATCTGGGGCTGGCTGTAAGAATGCAATGGCCGGAGGAAGCGCTGGCGCAATCAGGCCGTGTCCCAAAGTAGGGACTTGCTTCAGACTAATTAGGAGGCTGTGGCTTTCTCTGGACTTTGGGGGCTATCAGTCCAAGAAGGGAGAAGTGTTGCGGCACGGGAGAATATGAATCTTTGCTCTGCAATACGGCGCCGCAGCCTCTGGAGTCTGAGTTCTGAGGCTCCAATCCCTGCTCCATCATACTGGTTAGGAGATGTTGGGCAAGTAACTTAATCTCCCTCCAAATCTGTTCCCTCATCTGTGAAATGGGGATAACAAATTCAAATAGTTGTTATGAAAAGTAATGATGCATGTTAAAGTAAGTCTCTGCTCAACATCACTAATCATTAGGGACATGCAAATCAAAACCACAATTAGCTATCACCTCACACCCATTAGGATGGCTACTATCAAAAAAAAAAAAAAAAAAAGAAAGAAAAGAAGTTGTGCTGGTGAGGCTGTGGAGAAATTGGAAGTGTGGGGCATTGTTGGTAGGATTGTAAAATGGTGCAGCCTCTGTGAAAGACAGTATGGAGTTTCTGCAAAAATTAAAAGTAGATTACCATAGGATCCAGCAATTCCACTTCTGAGTCTGTGCCCCCAAAGAATTGAAAGCAGGGTCCCAAAGACATATTTGTACACCCACCTTCATTGCAGCATTATTCACAATAGCCAAAAGGTGGAAGCAACCCATTGTCCTTCCAGTGATAAACAAAATGTTCTACTTAAAAAGGAGTAAAATTCTAGGGCCGGCCTGGTGGCGCACTGGATAAGTGCGCCGCTTGGGAAGCGCGGTGGCGCTCC